GCCCTGGAGCTGAGCCTGAGGCGATGCCGGCCCCGGCCTGGCCCCCCGAGCAGAGCCTGAGGCGACTCCAGCCCCGGCCTGGCCCCCCCGAGTGGAGCCTGAGGCGACGCCAGCCCCGGCCTGGCCCCCCAAGCGGAGCCTGAGGCGAGAGCAGGCACAGGCTGGGTCTGGGGGCGTTGCTGGCTCTACGGCGGGAAGATGCTGGGCCTGGGCGCAGGATCGGGGCCACATCTCCCACGTGCTGGGGGGGCTTGTGGTTGGGGGGGGGGGGGGGGGGGGACCTGGGATGTGGGGGTTACGGTGTGGGGGGCTGGTTCTCCCCCGCCCTCAATGTCTTTCCTCCCCTCCGGTGCCAGGCTGCCACTTCCAGGGCCAGGACCTCGCGGACGGAGAGACCTTCCCGGCCCCCGGCGGGCGCTGCGAGCAGTGTCGCTGCCTGGTACGTGGCAGGCCCTGTGGGGAGAGGGCCGGGCACAGCCCCAGGGGGCGCAGGGAGCCTTGCACAGGGGTTGTGCTGGGGGGATGGAGCCTGAGGGGAGCGGGGGCACTAGGGGGGTCTCAGCATGGCTGGGGACCTGCCCCCCTCACCGCCATGCCTTGCCCTGCCCTCTTGCAGCAGGGAGAGGTGTCCTGCGGGCCCCTGCCCTGCCCTGGGGTGACGTGCCCCCACCCGGCCGTAGGCCCCTGCGACTGCCCCATGTGTGACGGCTGCAGCTTCCACGGGCGAGCGTGCAGCAACGGAGAGCGCTTCCCCGACCCCCATGACGCCTGCCGCCTCTGCTCCTGCCTGGTGAGTGCCTCGTGTCCCCCCCGAAATGCAGCCAGCTCTGGGGAGGGGCCGAGCAGGAAACAACGCCACATGGTGCTGGGGACGGGGGCACAGTCCTGGCGCCAACTGCCTCTGCCAGGGGTGCTAGAGTCACCTCGGGGCCTGGCCCAGGACAGTGGGCCGGTAATAGCCACAGATGGGCAGGGCCTTGGGCTCAGCTAAGGCAGTTTCTCCAACAGCACAGTGCCCACTAGTGCCACCCTGGGGCCAGCACTGAGTGCCAGGAGAGGTGCCCCTGCAGAGCTAGCCCCTCCCTGCGTGTTTCCCAGCGCTGGCCTAGCCCTGCCTGTGGGCACCACAGGGGCTTGAGGTCCCAGGGACGGGCTGCTGGCTCGGGGGGGACGTTTGGTCCCTTGCCTGCCAGGCCGGGAGCCCGGCTAGCTGTGACGCCAGCGGCTCTTGCCCCGCAGGATGGCAGCGTGACGTGTGTGCCCGCGCCGTGCTCCCCCGCCCCCTGCCGGAACCCTGTCACCCTGCCCGGCCAGTGCTGCCCCCAGTGCTCCGGCGCCTGCCGCTACCAGGGCCACCTCTACGAGAGCGGGACCACCTTCCGCCCCCCGGCGGGGGACCCCTGCTCCACCTGCACCTGCCTGGTGAGTGAGCCAGCCCGCAGCGCCCGCCTGCTCCACCCCGAACCCCCCGACCTCTACCCGGTTCCCCCTCCGACCCCTGCCCTGATACACCCGGATCCCCCCCACCCCTGTCCCGTTCCCCCTCCGACCCCTGCCCTGATACACCCGGATCCCCCC